ACGGCGGGGGACCTGACGACGGGGGGCCTGACGACGGGGGGCCTGACGACGGGGGACCTGACGACGGGGGACCTGACGACGGGGGACCTGACGACGGGGGACCTGACGACATAGACAGTCCTGGAGGCTTTTTCTTGGCCCAGTTTTGGCTTTATAAGCGCCGTGACTACGTTCCTCCAGCTTTCATGAAAATAATTCTCCTCCGGGCACGGACCACAGGGCAGAGGCAGCTGGGTGTCACTGAGGGTGGGGGCCCTGTCATGTAGCGGTAATAGGGCCCCATGATTTCTAATGGTGGTCCTGTGCAGTCCACTGGTAATAAGGGAATTGATTGACAATCCTGCCCCCAGGAAAATAATGTCTGGACTCTGATTGGTTCTTTTCGGTAGGGCATAGGTCCGCACACATAACACAGACCACATTGTGGCCCCGCAGTGTGACGACAGCTGTTTGTTTGGCACACAGGGAAGGGCGACTTACAGCCCCAGCTGGACCACGCTCTGCAAGATGTGAACGACATGTACCTGCTGCTGGAGGAGACCGAGAAGCAGGCCGTGCGCAGGGCGCTTATTGAGGAGCGCGGGCGCTTCTGTACATTCATCACCCTACTACAGCCTGTGGTGGTGAGTACCCAACATTCCATGTGACTGAACCAATCTCCATCCAAGGCCTCTACATGAAGCCGCGCCCACTCAGGGGACACTTCAATCATGGAGGGTGAGGAGAGATGGGGGATAGTGAGGAGCCCAATTATGGAGGGTGAGGAGAGATGGGGGATGGTGAGGAGCCCAATTATGGAGGGTGAGGAGAGATGGGGATGGTGGGAAGCCCAATCATGGAGGGTGAGGAGAGATGGGGGATGGTGAGGAGCCCAATTATGGAGGGTGAGGAGAGATGGGGATGGTTAGGAGCCCAATCATGGAGGGTGAGGAGAGATGGGAGATGGTGAGGAGCCCAATCATGGAGGGTGAGGAGAGATGGGGGATGGTGAGGAGCCCAATTATGGAGGGTGAGGAGAGATGGGGATGGTGAGGGGCCCAATCATGGAGGGTGAGGAGAGATGGGAGATGGTGAGGAGCCCAATCATGGAGGGTGAGGAGAGATGGGAGATGGTGAGGAGCCCAATCATGGAGGGTGAGGAGAGATGGGGATGGTTAGGAGCCCAATCATGGAGGGTGAGGAGAGATGGGAGATGGTGAGGAGCGATGGGGGATGGTGAGGAGCCCAATGAGGGAGGGTG